GGGAGTTCCTTTCCTTCCGCTCGCAGTATCTCGGCGTACAACGTGGCGTCGTTGAGCCCGAGTTCGCGTGCGCTTGGGGCCTTGTTGCCTAAGAACTCCGCTCGAGGAGGGCACGGGCGGCGTTGTCCTGTGCGTGTTCTGCCTCCCGTGTCATTTGGAGGCCATAACCCAGATACCGTCGCAGGGTGTCGATGCCGGTGTGCCCCGTCATGCGCATGAGGTGTTCCTCCGACATCCCTTGTGCTGCCAGGTGTCGCGTTGCTCCTTTCCGTACCGATGGAAGGGCGGATAGCGGGTTCTCGCTCCGCAGTGCCTGGCGCACCCTGTTCCTCAGTTCCGTGACGTCCTGGAACAACCTCTGATGTGGTAGACGCTGACACAAGAGGTGCCGCAGAAAAGACGCGTCCTCGCGTGGTATCACAGCCCCTACCGGATACGTGCCGCGAAATCTGGCCCCTTTGCCGTACCGCATCGTCATCGTCAGGCGTGCCATGTTCTTCGCACCCCCCGTCACCGGTTCGACGCGCACATCCGCCGCGTGGAGGGATCCGATGTCGCCTGCCCTCGCCGCGCTGCACCACATCATCATGAGAAACAGGGCTGCGTGTGGGCACTCTCTCGCGAGTACCCTGTGTGCCTTTTTCATCTCCTCGTACGTCACCGGTGCCGGAGGGTTGGTGGGCGCACGACGTTCGAACCTGTGTGCTGCTTGTGTTGCGGCTCGTCAGCTGGGGTTCCTCGAGATGTCGATGCTTTCTCTTTGGTTCGTGTACAGCGGGAGGTTGAGGAGGGCGCCTTTGATGAGTGCCAACGCTTTGCAGATGGTTGTCCACTTCCATCCTCGCGCCACCGCAGCGCGGCGGACCAGCTCTATCGCTGCCTCTGGGAGGCTGAGCGTTAACAAGTCCTCTGGCATCTGTCGCAGCTCTCGCAACCATCGAATATGTCCTTCTCGTTGCGCCTGAGTCACGGCTGCCCATGCCAACTGGCTGACGTGCGGGGGTTTGTCTGGATAAATCATCCAGTGTCGTGGGCAAGCGTACCCCGTCGGACGCTTGCCTCGTCCGTTTAAACCCAACCGGTGGTTGACCCGTAACGCATCCAGTGCGTCCTTTTCCTCGTCATTGTGCTGGGTTGTTTCAGCTCTGTACGATGGTTCCTGCACGCGCACCGTGGGCCTGTCTGTTCGGGATTGCTGTGGTGTTGTGTTGGTGCGTGTGTCGTCACGCCGAGATTCCCTCTGGCTTAACACACTCTCCTCCACAGTCTCGCGTGTCCTCTTACTGCGTTTTTGTGGTGCAGTCGGTTGCTCGTGTGGTCGGGTCGGGTCTGTTATCCTTTGTGCTGTTTTTGGCCTGCTCTCCACCGTCTCGGGTAGGCGCTCTTGCCGCCCTTTCCGTTTGCGGTACATGGTCGCGTCTGCAACACTATACGTGGGCCAATTTGCTTCGTCCGCTGGCCTGTATACTCCAATGACAGCCTCCTTAGGATTGCGTGTTGGGGTGTAATAACCTGACGAGGCTCCCTTCTTTCGGCTGATAGAGCCCGTGAACTTTGCACCGAGTATAAATTTTCGCTCTGGCAACGGCTCGCCGTTTTCCGGACTCTTGCCTGCATGGATGGTCTGTGGTAAACCGCGCCTGGACCTTGTCTGGACGAACAGTGCCCGGCGTAGGAGGCAAAGGGCTTCTTGCGTGCCTTCTTCGGGCAAGCCGAGGAGGCTCTCTTGTTTGTCTCCTTGGTTTGCCTGACCGAGAGGAAATACCGGGAATCCCAGGCGCATGATGGCATCCGCGACATCGTGTGGTTGTGCGGGGCCGAATTTGTAGCGCTTCGCTCGCATCGCAACGCTGTCCGCTGTTAGAGACCGTGAAGCCCTGTCCGCTTGGTTGGCCATGGCGCGGTCCACCCACATGTAGCCCAAGTTACGTCGGTGTAGCTCAGCGGACACGCTTGGGTACGTCTGTAAGATGTCCGTATCGTCCCGTGTCGTTTCCGTGCTGTTTTCCCCACCGCCTAGAAGCTTGCTCCTCTTTCTGTCGAGCAAGATGCGCTCCATGGTTAAGAGAAACTGAACCTTTGATGGTTTATTGTCGCTCTTCGTTACCTCGTGTAGGTAGGGGCGTAACCGTTTAGGTAATGTTTTGGGGTTTACTATTGGTGCCCGCAGGAATGTGGCGAAGAACCTTGCTGTCACGAAGATCCCGCAATCCTCGCTGAAGCGTTCTTGTCGTACCCATTTCCCTTCTTCGATCTCAATCTGTGGTCACCATGATCGGATGGCGTGCACCAGGTCTCGTTGCACTATTGGAGACGGTGCCGAGTCATAAATTGTTAAGATGGTTTTCTTGTTCGTCGCCCCACTGAAGATTCCCGCAATCCAGTGGTGGCGGATAAATATTGGAAAGAAGAGGTGATCGCTACCTACAACGATAAATACTACAACGTGATTTGCTTCCCCGACGTGTCAGCAGAAGGGTTGGGTGCGATAGTCTTTTCCCTCTCTCACTTCTCAGTTTGTGAGAAAAAAGTACCGCCGCATCCCTTGCTTCCTCCTGCACTTGTCTCCTCCTTTCGCTGCCTTGTCCCTGTGACCTTCCGTTTCGTGTTAATAAATGGAGTCGGTGTGTTCGTGTGCTGGCGTTGTTTGCGCTGTAACTCCTCCATCATGGCCGCTAGGATGGACAACTGTTGCTGAGTGTTGCCCATATCCATGGCGGCAATCTGTTGCCCATTGGCATCATAAATTACCTCTGAATAGCCCCCTCCGCTGATGAGACCTTTCCGCTGCATGTTTTTTTTTTTGTCTGTACCGCGTTGATACGTCATATAAAAAAATTGTAGCATTATTTGAAAACCTAAAAAAGCAGCATAATCGCCAGGGTTTTATAAATAATACCACAATAAGGAGGGAAAATAGCAGTAGTTGAGAACAAAAAAAAAACAGCACCGTCCAATGCTGGAGTTCTATAAATACTGCTATGTAAAGAGGGGTGTGAATGGTTACCGCCGCGAGACGGTCGTGCAGTTTTGATCAGAGAGCCATAAGGCCTCCTCACCTCCCCAGATCGGACATGATCTGGAACCTTATCGAGGGTTGAAGTCGTCTTGGTTTCTGTCGCGCTCACTGCAATGTCCTGCAGTGAAGGTCCTCGTAGCACTAAAAGCCCCAGCACCACGTCAAGGTGCGACTTCATCGCTGGGGTCCGCTGCATGTCGAAAAGTTTTTCAACTTCCAGCGTTACACCCGAGGAACCCCCGTGAAGGGTGTCCTCGGTCGGGGCGAGCAATTTCATATTTAATTCCATGAAATTCGGGTGGTCCGTGAACAGAGGGTATTTGAGTTTCTTCACTCGGGCTCCATACGTATCCTGTTTGCAGGGGTCGAATGTCGCAAACAGTCCCCAGTTGTAGAATCGGACTCTTTGTTCCTCTTCACAATTGAAGAAGAGTGTTGCGAAGCACTTCCAACCATATGCGCGGTCTTTTGCAAAGAACGCGTACCGGCCTGCCACCACCTCCGTTAGGGTTAGGTGACCAATCTTGGCCTTGGAAATGAACATTTTCTTTGCCGCTTCCCCGCTTTCATTAACGTCGTGAGTGGCGGTAAGTTTTTTTCCAGAAATTCTGTGCCATTGCGCATTTTCGTTTCCACGGGAACAAGGCGTGGTCTTGTTGCTGTGTCAGAAATTCTTGTAAACTGATGTTCTCCGTCTGTTTGGCCTTGTCGTCCAATGTGTTGCTGCCTTTGTCCTGGGTCAGGGAAGCTTCCAATACGGTCCTCGTCAGGACTTCGAGCATTGTTGTGTTGCTTTCATCATGGTCCTTTTTCCATAGTTTGAGAACGCTGTCGAGTTTATCGCCCGTGAAGCGTTCTTCCGCGATCTCACAGATAGATGAGAATATTTTTTCCGTCACACTTTAATTCCTTTTCAAAACTCTCTTTCGAGTTATGAGCGCGTCGAAAACCCTTTTGAAGGAGCTAGAGGTGTCTAACCTATGACATTGCATGAAAAACAAAAAAGTGAAGAGAGAAGAATAACAAGAAATGTTCTCATAGCATTCAAGCAATACAAAAAAAACAATATACACACAACTCTCCGTCACTCCCTGCGTGTTTCTGTTTACACGACCACCGTACGTCCAGTCTCTCTCTCCGAGAATTTTCTATCTGCGACACGCTTGTGCTCTTCGCACTATGCAAGCACGTCTTCTGTCGCTTTACTAAGAAGAAGAAAAGAAGAAAAGAAGAGAAGAAGAGGAAAGGAAGAACGTGTTTGCACAAGTGGTACGGTACGTCAAACTGAGAAACAACGTTTGCCGATAAGGCCAGTACATCAACACATTATTAACGGGTAAATACTTTCAGATATTTATCGCTTTCTGTGGCTTGTACTTTGGCTTTCGGGGTTGGAAAGAACGCTCCCCATAGTGCGCGATTAGCCCTTATGCATTCTTTGTTGAGGCATTAATATTTCTTCAACTTCATCCTCCACGTCAATATCGTCTTCCACGTCGATATCGTTCCCCACACCTGGGAGGGTTTCCTCTGCTTCGCTTTGTCCTTTGCAGATCGGACCGTACGTGGTTCTCAACAGCGGAACGAGACAGTCGTCCGCCGGATGTGAAGTAAGTAACGGGGTTCCCCTGTCTACCCCAAAGTTGCGTGAGCAGTGGTCTGCCGGATTGCGGGGTCCGGCGATGTAAAAGAAGACCACCTGCACCGCCTTTGTGTGGAACAGCTCGTTCGTGTATTCGAAGAGCCTGTTCAGCGCGTAGCCGCGTCCGATGCCGCCAAATCCATTTAGCCGCCTTTGCACATGCGCGATGGGGAAGTGGTCGGTCACCACCGCCACTCGTGTTGGCCGTCGTCGTGGGCCATTTACGTTTGCGTCACTTTCGACGTCTTCTTCGTGAACGATAGATTCGCCGGGAACAATCACACCCTGGCGTTCGAGGTGTTGTAGCAGGAGGTGGATCGCCCGGGGTTCCGCGTGTGCCGAGTGGCGTGCGTTGAACGTGTCGCTACTGACCTGAGGAACTTGTCGCGTCCCTTCTTCTCGGTGTCCGATTTGTGTCTGTTGCGACGGTCGCGGGTTTCTACCCGGGTTAAAATCATGGATCCACCTCTGCTGGTATATGGCGGCGTGTGGTGTCCATGTGTCGTCTGTTATGTTTTCTGATTGTGATGGTGCCGGTGGGTCTGTAACCACTATCGCACCCCACCCATCTGCTGACGCGTCGGTGAAGCAAATGACGTCATAGTCTTCATCGTTGTAGGTGGCAGTCACCTCTTCCGCGATGGTCCAATAAGGGTTATGCACTAGTTCTGCAGCTAACGTCATCATCGTGTTGCGGACGCCAGGATCCAGGTAGGGTATGGGTTCATCCCATCCTCGTTCGCGTTCCACCTGGCGGTACACTCCACGATACGCACGCAAGAGATTAAACGCTGAAGCGGGGTTCAACCTTGTGGTGTGCAACGCATATAAAATGAGTGACACGTTTGACGCAAATTCTCTGCACGTGAAACTCCTGTACGGCTGCTGTACCAGACCCAGCTTCAGTTTCGACACGGTCTTGATGGAGTTGCGCACCCTGCGTTCACCCTCCAACCAAGTAAACTCCTCTCCGAGGAAAACATTTGTCTTTCTTGCCTCCTCCAACATGACGCTGTCTGACCATGATCTCAGTTCTTCACGACTGGGAGACGTGCAGAGGTTCGCCACCTCAATGCAGTCGATGATCTGCCGCACCGTACGCACAAACTCCACCTCCTCTCCAGCGGGCGCGGCAATCAGGATATTGTCGATCATTGTGAGGATGGTACACCTCGTGTCAATGTCAACAATTGTCCATGTCACGGCCTGTCCCACAGCGACGCTCCATCGTGCCCCAGTCGGCAACGTTCGAAGTCGATAGAGTGCGCCATCCCGTGCTCGAAATACGAACTTGTTGCGTAGCTTTTCCTCCATCGTCGGGATGGAGTCGTAAAACGCCTCAAAATCGATCTGGAGCATGTAACGTGCGTAGCGCAGCTCCTGTCGCCTTGCAAGACGAGAAGGGTACTCGCACCGTGGTATCTCCGCCTTCGAGAGCACTCCGTTGAGGTGAGGCTCGGTAATGAGGTGCCGTCGTCCTTTCATCTCGGCTACCGCAAACACATTCACTCCGTGAACACCTTCCGGGAGACGGCCATCGTAGCGTTGGTCTTGGTGACAGTCGTCCCGATGGCCGGGTGTCGTATGATTTGATGCGGTTCTGCCGATGCCATTACGATCGATCGGCGCAGAGTTCCTGCACTCTGCCTGTGGATGCGCGGTTGTCGCCAGTGGAAAAACACAGTCAGCGCTAACAACGTTCGGAACGCGTTCAAACTTTCCCATCTCGACTGCTCTCTTTATGTCCGTCATCGAGAGCTGCGTCTTCTTGATGGTTCGGGATGTGCGTAACCCGTCGTAGAGGTTGACCGTCATGAATCGCAGTGCTCGCTCCAGGA